TATCATGTTGGCCAGGCTGGTCTGAAACTCCTGAACTCAAGTGATCTGCCCACCTCAGCCTCCCAAGGGCTAAAATTACAGGTGTGAGCCACGGCACCTGGCTTGTACTTGCTAGGTTTTAAAATAGCCTAATTATACTACAACTGGAATAGTGGATCATTTTTGAGTTTTCAATACACATATATGCACTTGCTGATATTCCATTGTGGCACGATCGTGTAGCCAAAGGAATGGTTCTTCACAGAATACATGCAAAATTCCAAATATTAAACACATAACTGAATTCACTTAAAAACTGAATACCATTCACTTGGTGATCATTTAGGCCAGTTAATATACTTAGAATATCTGACATCCAGAGGGATTAAAACATTTTTTTTAGACAGGGTATAACTCTGTCACCCAGGCTGGAGTGCGGTGGTGCAATCTTGGCTTACTGCAACCTTCCAGGCTCAAGCCATCCTCCCACCTCGGCCTCCCAAGTAGCTGGGACCACAGTTGCACGCCATCACACCTGGCTAATTTTGAAAATATTTTGGTGGAGAAGGGGTTTCACCATGTTGCCCAAGCTGGTCTTGAACTCCTGAACTCAAGTGATCTACCCGCCTGTGCCTCCCAAAGTGCTAGGATTACAGGTGTGAGCCACTGTACCCAGCCAGCGGGATCATTTATTATTTTCTTTTCCTTTATGTAATAAAATGATTTTTCAGTAATAATCATGTAATAAAAAAATAGGAGATTGTTTTTTATTGTTTTTGTTCAACTCCACTTATATACCAATAGAAAATAAAATATGTATTACAGTACTAAAGAGGAAATTGTAATGAAATTAATGTTTTCAAAAAATGAAAAACATATGCCTACATACTGGTTTGTTTGTAGTACTAAAAAACATTACACCTCTTATTTTCTTGATTTCTTTTTTAGTTTTGAAGCAACTATTAACAATGAAAAAAGAAAAAAATTCAAAGTTATTATTTGAATCAATTATTCAAGAGGGGGCCAGGTGCAGTGGCTCATGTCTGTAATCACAGCACTTTGGGAGGCTGAGGTGGGTGGATCACTTTAAGTCAGGAGTTGGAGACCAGCCTGGCAAACATGATGAAACCCTGTCTCTACTGAAAAAAATACAAAAATTACCTAGGCGTGGTGGTGGGCATCTGTAGTCCCAGCTACTTGGGAGGCTGAGGCAGGAGAATTGCTTGAACCGGGGAGGTGGAGGCTACAGTCAGCTGTGATCGTGCCACTGCCCTCCAGCCTGTGCAACACAGTGAGGCCCTGTTTAAAAAAAATTATTCAAGAGGATAATTTCATGAAACAAAAATAGTATACCTCAAAGTTTGCACTATGTTTCACTCTTAAATTTTATAAACAAAAACTCTTAAATGGTTGCATAGAAGGCTGTTGAAGTAATCAAGCTCGGTTTCTTCATTCTTACGATCACTGTGCTACCATTGTTTACAAAGAATCTACTGTTTAAATGTAAGAATATGGACCAGCAGGGTTGCAAACATGAATTGTGCCTTAGGTCTTGAACTACCCTGAACTTTTATGAGTTTACTTGGAAATATATACAATAGCTGAATCTTTGTTTATTGAAGAACAATTATGAGTCAGAGTTCTCTAATTTCCATGTAGAATATACTGTTTATTAAAAAATAATTAAAATGTGCTGATTTGAAGTTTAAACTCGTATACTAAAACTTAACAGAAACTACAGAAATTGTTTAAAATCTAGATCCATAAGAGATTTTTCATGGAAGACTATTTTAGTATTGACATGGTTTAGAATTATTGGTACACAAAAATTACTGGAAATAAAAAAACAGACTTTTAGTGGGTTTATTGTAGTTTAACTTCTGTACAGATAATGAGAATTATCATTGTGCATACCCAAGATCTACCATACTTACTGCCCCACCCTTGGTATGCCATTCGAGGTAAAATCTGCTCTAAGTACTATCTTTGAAGATGGGCTTGCTGCAGTAAGTATACTTAACCTTACAATTAATGTTTATTAAGAGCCTACTGAGCACATCGTATTGTGCTTCATACTTCATCCACACAGACTGCATCCACATGAATGTCACTAGTTCCTAGACAATCATATTTATTCACTAAAGCCATCTCAGCAAGATTTTAAAAAAAGACTTAGCTATTATTGTGTGTACTCAAATTTTAAATAAATATCACACAAAGTCACATATATTCCATTTTCAGGCTTCTTCCAAGCCAGATTGGCTTTCCACCTGTACATTCCAAATAAGTGAGGTTGTATTATAATTTAACATTTAGAAGGGCTTTCAAAATATTAACATTATATCAACATTAACAATTTAAGGACTTCGGACATTATTCAAATTTTCACAAATCATGTGGCATCAGATTCACGTGTTGTATTTTCACAAGCAACTATCTCAAGAGAACAAAAGTTTTAACTCTGCTCTAAATCTTTTTCAGACGTTCACAGGATCAACACAATCTCTAATCTATCCTCCCAAAATCTTGCAAGCTACATACATGTACAAACTTTCCATTTACATGAAAAATTACGTAAATTTTCCTGGTACTCTTGAAAAGGCAGTCTTATTAACTAAAAGAAAATTTGACTTACCTCAAAAGATATCTTGGTACTGGATAGAATGTCAACTAGAGCCACGTTAGAAACAAACAGGTATGCTTGGCAAGAAGGTGAAATTCCAAGCTTAAACCCGCAGCTCCACTCCTGCCTCACAGCTCCACTCCTGCCTCACAGCTCCTATACTTTCTTGTGGCTACCAAGCTCCTTTACGCACAAAATTCCCTCTCATTAGCCACCTGCAGTGTACTGCAGCGGCACCTGTACTATTTATAGCTGTTAGGATTCCCCACCCTCTCCGGTCAATAAGAATCACCTGAGGCAGTTAAAAATAAAAATAAAAATCACAAGTCAATCTCTGATAGCAGATTTCAAGAGGTTTGAAAGGAGGCTCCAGAATCCGATTTTTTTTTTCTAATCAACTGAATTTATGAGTCACACAATCAGATTTTAAGTAAGTCTTCCCAAGTGAGTCTTATAAGCCAGGAAAGTTCAAGAATAATGCTCCAAGTGAAAGTGAGATCTGGCAGATCTTCACAGTTCCTCTAGACTGATTAGCCTCAAGAGCTAATCCTCCTCAGCTGTTAGGCCTTAGGGTATTTGAAAACAAGAGAAGGCCCAGTTTCAAGAATGCAGAATAGCATCTTGTCCACACTTGATTTAAGTTTTTAATTAAAAAATTTAACAGAGGGAGATTTTAGTTTGGGGAGTTGCTGTGAAGCAGGACATCACCAGGGGGCAGCATAAATTATACGTTCGGGAGTTTTTCACTCCACACTACAACCCGAAATGGTTGCACCTATAATTTCCATGAACTCGGATTACTTAAAAAAGAAGAAAATCCAGAACACTTAAAAGACGTAAGTAAACGTTATTAGCGTGTAATTTTCAATAGAAGGTGTTTATAAATAGCCACTGTAGAAAAAATGTTTCCTTGAAGTAGCATGAACCCGAATTCAAAAAAATTTTATTAGAATACAAAGGTTCCTGGTAGAAATTTCAAGTGGACTTCAAATTTCTCTCAGCAAGTTTCAAAATACTTGTCGCAGTCTAAGAGTTAATTAGCGTTATAACTGGATGCTTCTCAATGGTTTTAATCAAATCTTAAGTAGAGTTCTACTGAGGGGGAAAACGGAGGGGATGACAATTTGGGCAAGTGATGCCGAAGCTTTCTCTAAATAAAGTGTAGTAGTTAAAATGCGGTCACCGACTGTCAGAAAACTATAGCTCTACTCCCATGAATCCTTCATTAATTTTTCTTTTTTTTTTTTTTGGAGACAGAGTTTCGCTCTTGTTACCCAGGCTGGAGTGCAATGGCGCGATCTCGGCTCACCGCAACCTCCGCCTCCTGGGTTCAAGCAATTCTCCTGCCTCAGCCTCCTGAGTAGCTGGGATTACAGGCATGTGCCACCATGCCCAGCTAATTTTTTGTATTTTTAGTAGAGACGGGGTTTCACCATGTTGACCAGGATGGTCTCGATCTCTTGACCTCGTGACCCACCCGCCTCGGCCTCCCAAAGTGCTGGGATTACAGGCGTGAGCCACCGCGCCCGGCCTCCCATTAATTTTTCTTAACCCATCTCCATTTTCTCTTTTCTAGTCCACATTTGTTCGCCTAGAAATGTAGAAAAAATCCTTTGGCAACCCAAATAGCTTCTACAAGTATCACCTCCAAGTGTTTTTTTTCCTCTGAAATTCCACCATTAGAGTAGGAAATGCTGAAAGGCGAGGGAGGATCTGAAGAAATTACATTTTTTTTTTCCAGTTCGCCAAAAGTAGATACTCCCTGTATAGATATTCCCATATAATCCAAGGAAGGTGTAATCCAAGACTCTGGGGCAATTCCATGAGGTGGTTTTGAAGTCCTTCAACTCTACCATTTCGATTATTTCCATGCTAAAAAAGCTACGGCAGGAAGAAAAGACAAAGGACATTCCCGGGAGGCCAAGTGGACCTAACCGAATAAAAACACTTTAGAAGAGTTACAATAATAAAAAATCAAGGCTATCTGCAGAGCCAAAAGCCCTTCTGAAACTTCTTGTCCTAGAAAGATGGGTTTCCCAATTTTTCAAATATTTTAACATAAAAATGGCAACACCCTATAGGAAAATGGCTATGATTTTTAGCAAGAATTGGTGAAGGCAAACGATAATAAGCTACTATGAATCCAGAAGCTGCTTAAATGGCCTGATTCACAGCAGACCTTGCAGACATTAATTAGAGTTGTACGCATTATGTGTGAGGATTTTTTTTTCTTAATGACAGAGAATATCTGTGGGTGCATCCAGATTGCTCAGTGGCTCACCTTAACCCACCCGCTAACTGGAAACCATGGCCCTAGGACGAGCTTCTCCACCCGGGTGATGCTGCCTCAAGGGGCGCAATGTTACTCTTTTTATGCATCAAGCACAGACACACACACAGCACATACGCAGGTCGGCAGCGTATCTGCGGTACTGGAATTTCATGAGGAAGGAGACGGGGGGCGTGTAAAAGCCTTTTTAAGAGTGAGATTATGAACCGTGGAAAAGGAGAAACACGGTCCTACAAGGGTCCTGAGCGGAGGCCATGAAATGAATGTACTGACAGAGTATTCTCTCCCAGGCAGCGGACTGAGAGTCGGGGGGCTCTGACTGTGCCTTGACTCCGGCCACACACAAAGAGGCGTTTTTCCCTCGGTGGCGTCCAAGCCCAGGGGGCACTGCGTGCCGTCCGCTCCCTCACGGGGCGCCCAGCGCGGATGAACGCGGGGGACTGGGAAAGAGCTTTCGAAGCGGCAGAGCGCTGCGCCAAAGCGACGGGAGGTTCCGATTCTCAGCGGTACGAAATCCCCCGGGTCCTCCGCGCCCCGGAGCGGCGCCCTCGGCCTCCGCACTTGTTGCTTCCGCGCCCCGCCTGCCTCCCCCTCAGACCCACCCTTCGCGGCCCCCTCGCCTCTCCACACGCTCGTACTCGGGCTGCGACGCTGCCCCGCGACGCCCCACCCATGCCACGAAGCCCGCGCTCTGCGTGGCAGCCCCGGAGGCGGCCGAAGCCCCGACCCCTGCCCAGCTCGGGCCACCAGCCAGTGCCCGCCGACGCCGTGGTTTCCTAGACAGCCGCGCCGCCGTTCCGCAGCCTCGGGAGCGCGCGCGCGCGCGGCCAGCGGGAGGCGAGGGCGCAGGCGCGGGCCCGGCCAAGCCGCCAGCGCGAGACCGCGCGCGCGCCCCCGAGCGCGGTGGGCGGAGGGGAGCGGCGGGGCCGCGAGGGGGCGGGGGGGCGGAGAGGGGAGCCCCGGGAGCGCGAGCCGCGGCCGGCGCCGCTGCAGAGCCGAGCGAATCCCGAGCCCGGGCAGCAGGTATGTGTCCTCGCAGCCGGCCGCGGCCGGAGCTTCCCCTGCCTCACTGCCCGAGTCCTGTGGTCGGGGCGGGGGGTGGGGGTGCCGGTCAAGGTTTGCAGGATGAGTGCCCGGAAGGGCTGGGATCTTGCCGCTGACCTTCATCCCCCTGGCCGGGGGAGCCAGGCGAGGGTGCGTGGGGCAGCCCAGGGCTTCAGCTCCAGCTTGGGGACCTGCTTCTTGTCACATGCTTCTTATTTATTTTTTCAAACTGCCCTGGTTCGGGTCCAGCTGCCGATGCTTTACCTCCCCTTCTTTGCCTCCGTGTGCCATCTTGCATTTATTAATAAAACATGCAAGTCGGGCGGGGGGGAGGTTGCTGCTGGGGGGAATCCCATTGCAGTATGGCAAGCGAGCGCCTATTTTCGGTTTTCAGACGTGGTATAGAGGTGGAAATCCCACACCCTGGGGATTTGTGGTTTGGTTGGTCGTGACCACTTTCTAGTGGGCTTCCCCCATTTGTCGGGAGGTGCCCCCGCGGCAGGATGGACTGTCTGGAAAGAATGGTGGGTTTTCACCATCAGGCCAGAATCCCCTTCAGGGGACAGGTGCAAGCTAGGGCAGGCAGTTCCCTGCTTGCTAACTTGCCAGGGAGGCTTAAACCTTGAAAATTGTCTCTCTTGATGGCCGAGAAAAGGCCTTCAACAGAATCCCTGGGACTTACATACTCAAACTCATTACGGTTTTGCATCTGAACATGACTAAAGCTAGCCACCTGTTGGAAGTCAGACCCCATGAAGCCCCCCATAATCTAGCTCACTAATCCCTGTTTCACAGTCACTAATACTGAGATAGCAATAGGCCCATATGGGTTCTTTCTATCCTCTTTAATGCTGCCTGGCTTTTGTTTCTTTTAAAATAAAACTACCTATGATTTGATGCCCTATATGTTAGAGGTTGAAATTATATGATTTGTTTATATTTCATACACCTATCACATCATATCGTAAAGACTGAATTTCTCTTCAGTGCCTATGTTTATTTCCTTGGCTTGTCACCTTGCTTTGAGCAACAGTGGGAAAAGTGGGATGTGTATAATTGCTTACCTCCTCCCCCTACCCTAAAATATTGTGATGAAAAGAATAGTAAGAGCTAGAAGTAAAAAATGAAAGTGGGGTATCACAAGATGTTGGGATATGATAGTTGAACTGTAATTGCTTCTAAAATATGTCAGAGTGTCACATCTAATCACGAGAAGGACACGTTTCTTCAGTGTTCATATGTACCAGGTACTGAGCTAAAACTATTTGTATATGATCTTAATTAGTCCTCACAACAAACCTCTTATGTCCATGTTGAAGATGAACAAGCTAGGACTTAGAAAGGTTAAATAACTTGCCCAAGGTCACACAGTCAGGGACAGGGTGAGGATGCAAACTCAGGCGCATGGGAATACTGGAGGTGGGGAGCCCTGAGGGGGCTTTTAATCCAGGTGCTGCTGCTCCATGTGCCTTTTCATTAAAATCAAGCTTATGCATGAGCACATTGGCTTGGGTCCGATTTTCCATTTCATAGATCCCACACCAACTCTGTGGCTTTCCAGTAAGAAAAGCTGTTGTTTCAGAATGGGTCAGTATGGAATTTTTTGAGGTGGCACTGAGCCTATAAAAAGTGGGGTCCAAGATGTGCTTCCATTTAATTCTGCCATACAAGGAGTTAAAGTTGTTTCCCTCCAGATTTAAACCTATAAAACATATATGCATCAAGTAGAATGAATCACTCTCATTTTCCATGATCACATCCCACTCTACCCTTCTTGCTGCCCTGCATACTATCTTCTGGTCTCACTGTCAGTCATCAGAGCAACACTGCCTATCAAACTTGCCTGTGAATCCCTTAATGGAAGGAAGGAATCCATACCAGCTGCGGATCCTAATCCAGTTTCTCTACGATTGTAGCAATTATGCTTTCAAAGTTCTTGGAATCTGTGCATTCAGCTATGGATGTATATTTAATCTTTTTTAAAGTACATTATTATAATGCAGTTATTGGATTTTGTTAGACATTCCTAACAGTCCTCATGGGCTTAGGAATTGCTGTAGTTGCATCAGTGAAAATTCACCCAGTGGGGCTAATAGCTTTTCTACTCAGGTCACATAGCTGAGATAGTGGAGAGAAAAGTATAGGTAATAGAAGGAATTATTTGGAAACTATATCCCATGCAAATTATAGCTTTTAATTATCAATTGGTGGATAATATTAAGTAGGAAATAGAAGACTATCTCTTTTAATTCTATAAGTTCTATTTTTTTCTCTTGGTCAATGTGATTGCTCTAAAAGAGCACCATAATATTACCTTTTTCATTACACTGTGTTCTTTTGAAACAGTATAGCAATTTGTACATAGCATTGTTATCTCATGGAAAACACTCCATTTGGGAAGGACACATTCCCTGGTGTTTACAGAAATGCTGAGACAGGATCTTTCTGTCTTGGGGATTTCCAGTCTACGATCAGATAAACTCAAGATGAGTCCTGATGTTACTGTGCAAGAGGCAGAAAACAGAGATGTTGCTCGATTTCTGGGGAGGAAGTGAGTTTTCCTATGGGGAGCATTACTATCTTCCTCAGTTGGGAATCTCATGATTGAAGAGTTTGAGAAACTGACTAGTCTGTCTTCCATTCAGGCAGGATTTCATTTAATGCAGAGCTGAGAAGGCTTTCTGGTACAAAGGCCAATTCAGGAAATGTAAAAATGTTTCCGGACTACATTTTTTTTGTTTCTCTTGAAATGTATATTTAAGCTGGGAAAGTCAAATGGGCAACTATTAATGCTTAAGCATTATTTTTTTATTCCCTTCACCAGAGTTTTTTGGGAAAGTGGGGAAAGAGTAAAAGTTTCCAGGCTATGAAACTCACAGGTCTTGTGGTGATTGATTATAATGAATATTTTAGTACATTGTTGAATAAGACACCAAGAACTGGGATATTTGTTTTCCTTGATTGACCTTGTAAGTTACTTCATTGTGAAATGTGGTTTATCTTATAGTATTTCTTAATTTAGTATTCTTTAAAATGAGATTTTTTTTTTCAGTTGTCGACAATCTTGAATCACAAAGAACTTCACAGATTAATTTGAAGTACTTGATTTTCACCAGCCTCTCTTTCTCTGCTTGGCAGCCATAGTAAGGGTTTTCATTTTCTTTAGAGAGTAGTTCACTTTCCATCCCGTTTCAAACAGACCCAGTGGGAGTTCACACATGTTAACCAAGCATACTTATCCCAGGAACTTTTCCTGTGATCCAGGTCTCATCTGAGATCCTAAGGCTTCCTTTAGCCCTTTTTACACTCAGGTTCCCCATAGAGAAGAAGTAAGAGTTGGATCACACCAAGTGGGCTTGGGTATAGGGTGGGATGGAGGCTACTCAGGACCAGGAGGTCAATTTTCCTGCACCAGCACCAGCCTATATTGTGATTTCTGCTTGCCAGTGTAATATGTGCTCATTGTAAAATGTTCAAACATTACAGAAATATAGAAGGTAGAAGCTTAGTGGTCCAACTTTTTGGTAATCTTACCCCTTAGCACTGACCACCACTAACAGTTTGGTGTAGATTCCTCCAGATATTTGAATGCCGAAACTAAAATATTCCTGTTTTCCAACAATACGTAGATGTGTACCATTTTGTTTTCTCGCACTTGGACCTCTTGGAAGCCCTTGAGTGGCATACTTTTAAACACCTTTTACTCAATTGCACTGGGAGCTAGATGAGAGGACCCCTGTAACCAGGGGAAGAGGAGGGGAACTGATGTTTGGTGGGTAGGAACATGTCGTGTGTTGTGTCCTATGATAGGAAGTTTCACGTTCCATATTGCAGTGACCACACTTTGTGGTCAACTGTTTGTAGATGAGAAGTAGGGGAGCCCAAGGTACACGCCCTAAGGGCAGAGCTGAGATTTGAGCCCAGGTCAGCAGAGCTCAAACTCTAGGCTCGTTCCCTTTTGCACTCTGACTGCAGGATGAGGCACTCTCTGCCCCATAGTTCTCTGGCCTCCCATCCTATTCTGCTCCATCTACACTGGACTCCTGCTGTTCCCCGTGCCCCAGGCCCTTAGCACTAAGGGTCTGTCCCCTGGAATTCTCTTCCCGCAGATAACGTCATGGTTTGCTCCCGCACGTCCTTTCAGCTTTGCTCAGAATCTAACCCACTCCCATAGACATCCTGTTCCTCCTCCCTGTCTTGCCTTTATTCATCGCACCTCCTAGCGTACTATATTAATTAGTTGTTAAGTTTATCGCCCATCTCCCCCATGGAATGAATGCTCCAAAGGGCAGGAGTCCAGTCTATTTTGTTCACTCCCCCAACCCTGGGACTGTGGGAAAAGCACCAATAAATCACTGTGGCATCCTTGAATCTTTCTAGCTTCCCACACTTTTTGTTTTTGTTAGTCCTTACTGTTCTCTGTAGTGAGCAGTGAAACCTCTAACATGCAAAAGCTTTATGT